GGTGCTCTGAGCCTGCAACAGGGCTCTGATCCAGCCTTATCTCCTGGTTGTCCCTCAGCTGGAGAGCAAACGGGACGCCTTCTCACCTGTGCTGCTGCAGTTCTGTACAGACCCTCGAAATCCCATCACCGTGATCAGGGGCCTGGCAGGTTCCTTGCGGCTCAGTGAGTGTGTGGGGCAGAAAGGTCAGGGAGGGTTGCAAGGATCTGGGGGCTTTGGGTCCCTCTGAGAGCCCCTACATTTGAAAACCCAGTGGCTATAGAGAGCTTTCCTCAGTCCTCAGTGGGCCATATTTGAAGCATGCTCTGAGTGATGGGTCACCTCGCCTCAGGCTTTTCTTCCATCTGTCTGTTTCCAGCAGTAGGCAGGTGGGAAGGGGATATATATCAAGGTCTGGTTAGAGTCACTTTTGGTGTTGTGAGTTAGTAAGGAAGAAAAGATTACAGATTGTAGAGAACCCCTGAAGATCCAAGGTTCGGGGCTTTTTTTTTTTTTCAATCTTTATTATGCAAAATTTCAAACACAAAAGTAGAGGGAACCATATAGCAATATAGAAATCCATCTTGTTTTCTGTATACTCAAAGTCTTCTCCACACATATATTTTCCCTTCTCTTTACTGAGTTACTTAAAGCATATTCTAGGCTTTCATTTGACTAAATCTTTGATTGGATCCAATAACTTCAACTGCCATTCATTAAGCACCTACAATGTGCCAGGTGCTGTGCATATATGGCCTCATGCACACTTGAGTACTCAGTGGAGGGGCTGAGGCTCAGAATAGCAGTGGGGAAAGAGGGCTGGTGATGGCTGATAATCCCAGCTTTGTGTGGGTCTGGGGTTCTTGCCTATTTCTCCTGGGTTGACCTCTGTGAAGCCTATGTCCAGCCTGTCAGAGACTTGAGGAGTAAGAAAGGACAGGGTAAGTTGGGTCCTCGCTCCCTGCCTTCTGTCTTTGCCCCAACGCCCTGCTTGGCCCTCCCTTGCAGACTTGGGCCTCTTCTCCACCAAGACGCTGGTGGAGGCAAGTGGTGAACACACAGTGGAGGTACGCACCCAGGTACAGCAGCCCTCAGATGAGAACTGGGATCTGACAGGCACGCGACAGATCTGGCCCTGTGAAAGCTCCCGTTCCCACACCACCATTGCCAAGTACGCACAGTACCAGGCCTCATCCTTTCAGGAGTCCCTGCAGGTGAGGGGCGAGCATGGGGCAGCAGGGGTGCAAGATCAGGGGATTTGGAGTGGGGCTGTGGCCAGAGGGCTCCTGGGGAGTGGCTGATCCAGGCCTGCCTACCCCTGTGGCCAAGCAGGAGGAGAAGGAGAGTGAGGATGAGGAGTCGGAGGAACCAGACAGCACCACAGGAACCCCTCCTAGGTATGGTAAAATATGCCTCTTCCCTTCATGATTCCTTCCCTTCCCCATGTTTCTCCACCAACCAGTGCTCTTCTCCCCCACAGCAGCACACCAGATCCGAAGAACCATCATATTATCAAATTTGGCACCAACATCGACCTGTCTGATGCTAAGCGGTCAGTGGGCCTGGGGCTAGTAAAGCAGGGGTAGGAGTGCTGATGGATCTGCAGAGCAGGGGTAGCCTCTCATATTTGTTGCCTACTTCGCAGGTGGAAGCCCCAACTGCAGGAGCTGCTGAAGCTGCCCGCCTTCATGCGGGTAACATCCACGGGCAACATGCTGAGTCACGTGGGCCATACCATCCTGGGCATGAATACCGTGCAGCTATACATGAAGGTCCCCGGCAGCCGAACTCCAGGTGCGGGAAGGGCGCGGGGGCGGGGCTGGTGTCGGCGCTGCTCTGTCAACCAGTGAGGGCCAAAGGGCGGGCTTGAGGAGAGCGGGCTGTCAGCCATTCTGTTCTCTGTCGCCCCCTGCAGGCCATCAAGAGAACAACAACTTCTGCTCTGTCAACATCAACATAGGGCCAGGCGACTGCGAGTGGTTCGCTGTGCACGAGCACTACTGGGAGACCATCAGCGCCTTTTGCGACCGGTGCGCTCTGCCCTAGCCCCCACTAGATCCACCCCCCATGTCATGTGCCTGAGCCCCCAGGTTTCCATCTGACCCTATGGCCACTCCGCAGGCACGGCGTGGACTACCTGACAGGTTCTTGGTGGCCAATCCTGGATGATCTCTATGCTTCCAATATCCCTGTGTACCGCTTCGTGCAGCGCCCTGGAGACCTCGTGTGGATTAATGCGGGGACTGTGCACTGGGTGCAGGCCACTGGCTGGTGCAACAACATCGCCTGGAACGTGGGGCCCCTCACCGGTGAGAGGGTGGGACATAGAACCACTCAGCTTGTGAGGGGGTGGAGCCTCATGTGGCCATGTGGCGGGCTGGGGTGGAGGTGGTGGCTAGGAGGGCAGCCAGCTGTGAGGGAAGTGGCTGGGGTTCAAGTGGCTGGGGGCTATTTGAGAACCTTGTAGTGACCCCCTCTGGCCCGCAGCCTATCAGTACCAGCTGGCCCTGGAACGATATGAGTGGAACGAGGTGAAGAATGTCAAATCCATTGTGCCCATGATTCATGTGTCCTGGAACGTGGCTCGCACCGTCAAAATCAGCGACCCCGACTTGTTCAAGATGATCAAGTGAGGGTTCTATTTGGGAGGGAGTCCCTCTCCACCTACCTGGTCCTACTCTTGTTCTGCCTGTTTAATGCTACCCCATTCTCCATCCTCTCCACATTTTACCATGCACCCTGCAGTATTACTGTGCTGGGGCGTCTGACAAAGTCCCTGCTCTGAGGGGCTTTATTTTCCAGTGGTCCAAATAGACTAAATAAATAAATAAAAGAAATGTAAGCTGTTTCAGATGTCCAGGTCAGGAGATGTGACCTGGGCATGAAATGGGAAGGCCCTGTAGGTGTGGGCTCCTGACCGCCCCCCCCACCACCACCACACCTGCAGCCCTGCCTCACTGCCGACTCGCCCCACACGCAGGTTCTGCCTCCTGCAGTCCATGAAGCACTGCCAGGTGCAACGAGAGAGCCTGGTGCGGGCGGGAAAGAAAATCGCCTACCAGGGCCGGGTCAAGGACGAACCCGCCTACTACTGCAACGAGTGCGACGTGAGTGGGCTGGGCTCTCCCTCTCCTTCCCCGGAGGAATGCTCCCCTAGGGTTTCACCTGATGACTGCCCCTGCTCCCTGTTCCAGGTCGAGGTGTTCAACATACTGTTCGTGACGAGTGAGAACGGCAGCCGAAACACATATCTGGTGCACTGCGAGGCCTGTGCCCGGCGCCGCAGCGCGGGGCTCCAGGGCGTGGTGGTGCTGGAGCAGTACCGCACCGAAGAGCTGGCGCAGGCCTACGACGCCTTCACACTGGTGAGGCCCAGGCTCGGGTCTGCGGGCGGAGACCGTGGGGGTGCTCAGGGGGCGGGCTGTGGCGGGTCAACCTACGCCTGCCCCTGAGACGCCCCCGGCTTTCTCCCCACAGGCAGCAGCTAGCACGTCGCGATAAGGCCGGATGCCCCGCCCACCTGCCCGCCAGCAGGGCGCTGCGGGGCCACCAGCACACGCCTGGGCTGGACCTAGGTCCCGCCTCTGGCCGGGAAGGGGGTCGGGCCCAGCCCTTCCACCCATTGGCAGCTCCCCTTCACTTAATTTATTAAGAAAAAAAAATTTTTTTTTAACAAATATGAGGAAAAAACGAAAAAAATGGGAGACTGAGGGGAGGAGGCTGGTAGCCCCTCGCCCACCAGCGCCTCCCCTCACCGACTTTGGCCTTTTTAGCAACAGACACAAGGACCAGGCTCCGGCGGCGGCGGGGGTCACATACGGGTTCCCTCACGCCTGCCAGCCGCCGCCCGGCGCAGATGCACGCGGCTCGCGTATGTACATAGACGTTACGGCAGCCGAGGTTTTTAATGAGATTCTTTCTATGGGCTTTACCCCTCCCCCAGGACCTCCTTTTTTACTTCCAATGCTAGCTGTGACCCTTGTACATGTCTTTGTTTATTCACTTGGTTATGATTTGTATTTTGTTTTTTGTTTTTTTGTTTTGTTTTGTTTTTAATTTATAACAGTCCCACTCACCTCTATTTATTCATTTTTGGGAAAACCCGACCTCCCGCACCCCCCAAGCCATCCCGCTCGCCCCTCCAGGGACTGCCCGCCGCCAGGCTCTCCCTGCGCCAGTGTGTGTCCGGGCCGTCCGGTCTCCGCCCGCTCGCGGCTCCAGCCGGGTTCTCATGGTGCTCAAACCCGCTCCCCTCCCCTATGTCCTGCACTTTCTCGGACCAGTCCCCCAACCCAACCTGACCCCAACCCCACCTGAGGGTGAGCGACTCCTGTACTGTAGGGGAAGAAGTGGGAACTGAAATGGTATTTTGTAAAAAAATAAATAAATAAAATAAAAAAATTTTAAAGTTTTAAAGAAAGAACTATGAGGAAAAGGAACCCCGTCCTTCCCAGCCCCGGCCAATTTAAAAAACACGATCTTTTCCCTCGCCCCTCCCTTTTTTTAAATCGCGAAACAGCCCAGGGCCAGGGCCTCCCTGGGGCAGGGACACCCCGGGGTGAGTTTCTCTGGGGCTTTATATTTTGTCGGTTTTTCCTCCACGCTGGGGCTGCGGAAGGTTGGGGGGGTTTACAGTCCCGCCCCCTCGCACTGCACTGTCTCTCTGCCCTTGGGGCAGAGGGGTCTTCCCAATCCTACCCCTATTTTCGGTGATTTTTGTGTGAGAATATTAATATTAAAAATAAAATCAGAAAAAAAAATCCTGTTTTGACAATGTGCTGGTAAATAGCAGGGAGAGTATTGGAAGAGGGGCTACAAGCTGGTGATTGATGGCGAAAGACTGCGCAGACCCCGGCCAGGGTGAACCCCCTCCCCGGAGGCGCCTGTGGAATGTCCAGAGTTCTGGTCCGCTCCTGCCTGTGGGGGG